TCCAGCGGATCCGGACTGCTATGGGGAAAACCCAGACTGGATCCGACTTCCAGCGGATCCGGACTGCTAAAGGAAAACCCGGACTGGATCAGCCTTCCAGCGGATCAGGACTGCTATGGGGAAAACCCGGACTGGATCCGACTTCCAGCGGATCCGGACTGTTAGAGGAAAACCCGGACTGGATCAGACTTCCAGTTAGACTAAGCTATTTTTTTCAGTAAATTGATGGGATGGTTTATTAAAAAAATTATAGACTGTGTTAAAAAAACTTAGAGTTATCTGAAACTTTCAGGAAATCTTTAAAGGAAAAAGAAACTGAACACCCTCTGTGATCTAGTTTTCCAAAATTGATGTCCTTTTCAACTTACATTAGGTAAAACAGCAGTTGCTTACCGGTTCAGTGCAAAAGTCCCATCTTAAAATTGGTTAAAATTATTTTCTAAGTTTGTGTATTTGGGAATTGGCAATAATTCCATCAACTACTGTCGTCAGCAATAACTGATAGTCTCTGGTCTTAAAATGCACTGACATCTAATATAAATTATATTTTTCAAAAACAGCTTAAAGGCTCACCTATTGCATTTCTCAATAGGCTCATCACATTGGCAGGCCTTGTTTCATTCAGCAGCCATATCACTCTGCAACACATAACTGGCAACCCACTGAAGCTCAGCAGGTGTGAGCTTGGTCAGTACCTGGATGGGGGCCTTCTGGGGAAAAACTAAGGTTGCTGCTGGAAGAGGTGTTAGTGGGGCCAGCAGGGGGCGCTCACCCTGTGGTCCATGTGGGTCATAATGCCCCAGTATAGTGAGGGGGACACTATACTGTAAACAGGTGCTGTCCCTCGAACGAGATGTAAAACCGAGGTCCTGACTCTCTGTGGTCATTAAAAATCCCAGGGTGTTTCTCGAAAAGAGTAGGGGTGTAACCCCAGCATCCTGGCCAAATTTCCCATTGGCCCTTACCAATCATGGCCTCCTAATAATCCCCATCTATGAATTGGCTTCATTAGTCTGCTCTCCTCCCCACTAATAGCTGATGTGTGGTGAGCGTTCTGGCGCACTATGGCTGCCGTCGCATCATCCAGCGGGGGCTGCACATTGGTGGTGGTGGAGGGGAGTCCCCATTACCTGTAAAGGGCTTTGAGTGGAGTGTCCAGAAAAGTGCTATATAAGTGTTAGCTATTATTAAACTCTGCTCAATCCCATTAATGTGAACAAGAACAAAAGATGTGAGCAAAACTCAAAGATTTGCAGTTCATTTTGGGTTGTTCTGGAAACCATTGTCTATACAACGGTAATTGTTTAATTACTATGATGCTCAATTACATTACTTAACTGTAGAGGGATTATGTGTTGTGGCACATGAAAATCGCTGACTTTACTTTTAATGACATTTGGTTTCAGGCCTCTCGTCGGTCATTGAAGAACATTTCGAATGGCTATTTCCAAATTATCTCTCACATGAAGCATTTGAATATTAACTATGGTCATTGTGTGGCTAAGGAGCATCAGCATACTGTAAAGCAACATCAAACATCTTTAAGGCCTATGCAGCATTAGAGGGTTTTCCAAAAATATGTGCAGCACCAATATGGGTTTTCTTCAGATATTTCAATGCACTACCAATATTATAAAGCTGTCACCGTTTGAAGAAATCTGGTCTTGATAAGAGCAGTAGTTGTCTGGATTATGCCAAGAAAACGTGTCTGTGTTGTCATTGTATTGCTAAAGCCTGATCCAGGACGTTTCAAACTTGTACCAGAACTTCAAGACATTTACAGCCATGCGGCCAGGGGAGGGGAGTCCCCATTACTTGTAAAGTGCTTTGAGTGGAGTGTCCAGAAAAGCGCTATATAAGTGTAAGCTATTATTATTTGTTCTGATGCCCTCTTTTTCACTGTAGTTTTACAATTTCAGTGCAGTACATAACACAGAGACTAGAAAATCATGTAGAAGTGTACAGTATGCTTCTCCTCGTTAAAGACCACACTGTTAGCTTTCATGTTGAACAACACTGTTGTGTTTTAATGTTCGGTGTTATAAAACAAAGTACAATTTAAAAGGCTAAAGTCAGTTCCTGTGTTAAAAGAGGACAAAAACACGTGCTCACACACATTTCCTTTGCGAACGGTTTCAGTTTTTGCAGTCACGAACACATGCTCTGTTAGCTCTTCGGTCAAAAACACACATCGGTTTATCAGAAGTATAAATGTGGAGGTGAAAGAATGAAATCAGCTGCCAATAAATTCAATTGCTTTTATTTTGAACAAATCACAGATCAAAGTAAAAAAAAAAACAGTGTGCTTCAAAATATACATTTATTTTTCAATTTCACCCATTTAAAAATATTCTAAAGAGAAAACACAGACAGGTGCAGAAACCCAAGTGTCTCTGCGTGGTGTACCATTTGTAGACTTGGAAAATACTTTAACTGTGTCCATAGCTTCACACAGTGTGGTTGCTAGATGTCTGACATGACCAGGATTGACTTAGACTGAGCTCATAACAAGCAGGGAACCAACATGGCCTCCACTGAATTGATTCCTCTCGTTTAACACAAAATACGACAGAATGATTTTGCGTTCAGCTTAAACCAGATCATGTGGGTCCCAAAAAGAAGAATAAGATATTTTAAATGGCACTTCTAATCCTTCTTGGTAATAATACTGAGGTATCAAAGCTCATGCCTTAAAAACACCAAGTGAATTTATTAGAGCTCTTGAGGAGCTGCACAACATGAACAGAAAAATGCGTAAAAAACGGAACCTCGTGAAAGCAAAATGGCTGGAATGGCGTGGTTACGTGGCGTGATGAGCTTTAGGAGCGATTCCTAAAAGACTTTCTTTCTGTGGGGTATTGCGTTCGTTTTCACAACCATGAACTGCATGCCTGTTTCAACAGAGTCCTGCACAGCTCTTGCCAACCATTGTGTTTCAAGTTCTGTCTTGGAAATTTTCATCAGTCTCTCATTATGACTATCAGAAGAGCAACAACCAAATGTGTTAAGTGACGTCATCAGAGAGCCCGCTTCTACACTGGGTTTCACTGCTGCTGAAGGGCAGTGCAGGACTGCCTGAAAGACGCCTCAGAAACAATACAGGCCAGAGCAGAAGTGACACCATGACTTCTAACTGACATCTTTAAGTCACAACAAGCTACCTGACATGACTAAATAGGCAGATACATTTGTACATTTAATTAATAATCTTTCACAAGTACCATTATGCTTTGCAAATCAGAAGAGGGATAAGAGGGCACACACAGAATTTGACACACAAGTGATTTTTAAACTTGTCGTGTTTGATCTTTAAGAACGCGGAGTTAGTTGGTGGCCATCCAGCACAGGTAGTTTTTTTGAGGTTTCTTTGACTGCCTGTTCTCTGGCAATTGCTCGCCGGTCTACAGAGAAACATGTTCTCAAGTGCAAAATCTGTTGACAGCGCTTTTTCTGTTCTCTTCAGCGGATATCACAATGTTTCTGATGGACACTAACTCCACCCGGACCAGGCTGATCGAAAAGCAATTCTAAACGATGCCTTTCAATAAAGCGTGCCACCTTAGAGAACAGCTTAGTACTGAGGGACATTTTCTTAAAAAATAATACAAAACTAACTGGCTTCGGAAAAGAAACAGCTAAACTTCCCTCAGAGAAATCATCTCTGTGAAACACCGGTTCGAATCAGACGCTTGAAGAGGCACTATGACAGACAGGAAAGCAGAAATTTTGATTGAGATGCTAATTACTTTTAAAGATCCTTCCCTGGGCAGTTAGGATTTCTTCCACTAGGGAAGGTATTACGAACGAGCACGTTACCACTAACTTCAACCCCTCTCCCTGATGGCAGACTCAGTCGATGGTGCTGGGAGCTATTCTGAGCCTCCTGCCTTCTGCCCAGTGGAACAGCAGAAGTATGAAGAAAGACCTGCAAGATGCAACAGCAAACAGTGTGTGAACTGCCTTCTTTTTTTATGTGCTACTGCCAATCTGTGTGCAAGCTCAATTAGCAGCCTCCGACAGGCATTAGGGATGTAGATACACACATTGTATGTTAGAATACTTACAGAGGTATTTAGATGTTTTTACTTCAAGAGCCAGGACTGCATTTAACAAAGGAGGAGGCAGCAACAAAAAAGAACCATTCTGAAATCAAAACCAAACCCTATTTTTGCATGAGAAACTGCCGAGAACAATGAGAAAAGGAGAGACGCTGTTCATGAAAATGGAGGATGTGTCATTAATGGCGTGTCTGACAAACAAGCCGCAGTTGTGAGTATTATTCCCTGAGATCTGGGACAGAGCGTGCTGCTACACTGACTATTCATGAAGGTGTACTCAGCTAAACATTCCCATCTGTTCTACTCGAGTGTCCAAATCCGTGGAGCTGCTCCTGGCCTTCCTTGCTAAATAAAATCCCGAATGGTCACAGAGGTGCTGACAATTTTTATCCACGTTAACCGTCCTGTTATACAGCAACCAAAACAAATTCTGAAAGTACAAACAATTCAAAAGCAGCTAACGTACTAAGACTTAAATGTTTCTTTAATTAAAAAAAAACATATTAAAAGCCACCCCAATTTAAAACCTCCAAATTAAGACGGCAATTACTGTACATTTACACACAAAAAAAAACGTTTTTAAACCGTAACAGTGATATGATAGGAATGTTAAAAATAGATGTATTAAAACCTGCAATATCAGTTTGGTGTGTGTAAAATCTGGACTGCAGCTGCCTTTTAAGAATTGTACCCCAATCAAAATAATAATAAACTCATTAACAATTTATAAAAAAAATAATAAAAAGTTTTTTTTAAACTGCTTCACATATTAAAATGTATTCATAACATCATTATATTAGTATTTGGTCTAATGAGTACTATAAAAATACAGATGTATAAGCATACATGTCCAAATATATACAAATAGGAATGCATATATATATATAAAAACCATGTATGCAAGTAATACTATATAAATTCACGTTAAAAATAAAACACATTGTCCATTGCACTTCACAGCCGCTCTTCTGTGGCACTGTCAAGATGTCTGTTATCTGAGAGAGATGAGCAGGAGTCCTGGTTTGGGTTCCGTGAACCTGAGAAAAGGCGAATAAAACAAAAGTTTAAGGTGAGGCAATTTCTGTAAGAACTGAAAAAGTTAAAGAATGTAGTTCGTGTTTTTTTTTTTTAAATCTGTGCACACTGAAGCTCCGGTTCCGTGAGAAAGCGTTCAATCGCTCTTGAAAAGTCACGATAAAAAAAAAGCTCTTTCAGTGAGGAGCGAAATTTTGAAAACCAAAACCCCAACTCGCGCTCATATTACAAAAGCAACGACGAGCGGGCTCCTTCGCTGTACAACAAACCCCAATAAAGCTCTCTTCGCTGGCGGGAGGTAGTTATCTACAACAGAAATCTGCAGCTTGCCGGTGGCTGTGGTTTCAAACCTTGAGCTCACCAGCTCTCCTCGGCTCCTGCATCTGTGCGCCACACGCTGAGCCCGACAGCTAACTGAAGCGCTGCGGATTCACTGACTCGGGACGCCCGGTCTCTCTCTCTCGCTGGCGACAAAGAGCCAGCTCCTGCAGTCTGTGTAGGACAGGCCAATAGACTGTAATCCAGCCCCTTATCAGAAATCCCAGGGTTGAAAAAGAGCATTTCCACCCTTTTAAAAAAAAAAAAGCCCTGAAGAAGTCTTTTTCTTCGTCTGAATACAACGCGACGTACGCCGCAAGCTGCTCTACCCTGCGTGACCTACATAGGCAAACTATTTCATTTTCAGTTCTGCACAAGGTAACGCCAGAAACACTAAATGGATGATGTATAAGAAGGGCAAGAGACATGCTGCTCCTTACTCTTCATTCTGATGCGCAGGAAACTGAAAATCCAACATTTAATGCCAACAGCTACTAATAATTCATTCCTTTGCCATTATATGGGGCTTTTCACACCAAAGTGCTTTACATATATGAAGGGACTCACTTCAGCCACCAGAAAGGCCAGATTGTAAAAAAACCCAGAGAGTGCCATTCAGGTAGGATACTGGGGCAAACACCTCTCTTAGACTTTCGCTTTAAAAATGCAACTTGGCATCCACAAAATGCACACATTTACTAATTAAGGTAGGGACCCTTTCAGGCCATAAAGGCCCATGGGGAATGGGGTGCAAGGGCAACCAGTGTTCTCAACCACCAAGGTGATGTGGTCAGCATCACCCTCCGGCTGGCCTGTCACCCCCAGAAGGATTTAACCCCCCCGGTTCTCATTCGGAAAGCAGGGCGAGTGGACCTAGGAGCTGTCTGGAAGGAATTAGAGCAAGCTACATCGCTTGTCCTACCTGGGGTCGAACCCGGGACCTTCCAGCCAGGAGCTAACACCCTTGCCATCTGAGCCAACACAGCTCCAATTACTAATTAAGTGCCCGATAAAAACGCTGGCATTTTGTGAAATCAGAAAATCTGTTAATCACATATCCGGCAAAATTAAACCACAGCTCTTAAAATACAGAGGTTTCTGTTCGGCTTATTGCCACATTTTTAGTTTCCAGTAAATATTCTTTGTTTAAAGAGGTATACAGTATATTCACAAATCCCCTAAAACTACCATCTGCTCTCACTTACAAGCCACCACTAATAATGATGACAATATCTCTGTTTACCCTTCGATCGGCTACTTAACACACACTGCTCCTATCGGCCATCTCCTACTGTATTTAGTTTGCTGTTCTTTACTATTAATGATTCAAATTCAGGCTTAGCTGACAGTGCTCAGGATGAGCTTTACAGTTTAAGGAGGAAGCACCAGACACTGACAGGAAGCCAGAATCACAATTCAATGATGCACTATACCTCTGTGTAAATCCACAATACTGCTGTGTCAAGAAGGTTGAAGAAGTCCTAAATTACAGAACGAGACCCTCATTTTAAAGCAGCTTAGTCCATTCTGGGGGTTTACAACCTGCAGGCTGCAGTACTTGTTTTAATGAATAATTAAGTAATGAATATATTAGTGTATCAAAGATACGCAATAAACAAAGTCATTCACTTCATATCTGAGCAATGCAAATGGGTTAAAAAAAAGTTTAAAAAACAACAACAGATAAATCAAGTAGTCGGTGTCAGCTGAAATGCTTCTAGAAGCTGAACGTGACACGCAGCTGGAGTCTCAATGCGTTCCCTGACTACTCTGGAAAACCAGAGTGCTGCAGTTTAACGGACGACGCAGTGGCCATAGGTGAGCCCCTGAAGCTGACCGTGCGGTTTGTGGAGCCAGCAAACCTCTGTCCCCCAGACTCCCAGAAGCCCCGCACAGCCCAGCAGCGCAGGCCTGTGACCGAGAGGGGGCGGCTCACCTGAAGTCGTGGTGAGTGAGGTAGTCGATGACGGCCGGTTTGATGCGAGCAACTCCTCCCTGACTGCGGTTTCCCCTTCCCGTGATCACAGAGAGGTGAGGCTTACCGCCACTGCGCTGGCACTCTAGCAAGAGAGGAATCCGAGCGGTACAAACCCATGCCATGCCAATGTGCATACACACACACATACACAGTGCCACTCACTGTGGCGAGCTCTGCTGTACCGAGGATGGCTGAACAGTTAAAAAGGGACACCTGCTCCCTGCTGCCCCTTTGCCTGCATAGACTTGTGGGAAACAGAACATCCTGCGTGACGGATCGACGCAAGGGTTTTTAGCACACAATTCTCTTCAGCACTACTTCTCCTTTCTGCCTCTGGAGCACCTGGAGCTTGTTCCATCAACGGGGCATTCCTGTTCCTGTTCCTCTCTGTACTCCTGCCAGATCATGCCACGCGGGGTCTGTACGTCTCTCTGTACCACATCCATAAATCCCTTTGCACCACTACACTTTAAAAATGAAAGGCCAGCTCCCCCTTCAATAAATTCAAAATTCAATTTTCGTTTTTTTTTTTTGTGTAGAGCACAATTTATCTACTCCTGTCACCTCCTTTCTTTTTAATGTAACTACCCACAACCAAGGAAAAATGGGTTTGGAAACATGCTGGAATGCATTTTGATTTTTTTCTTTCCAAATTGATTGATTCGATTGTTTTCTTTTAAAAAAAATGTTTTTGGACCGGTACACACAAATCGAATTGGCTTAAGGTTATTTCAGCTATTAGCACTTGGAGGGACTTGAGTGACAACTCGTCGCTGCGTGATTTCCTGTTGGCAAACGTTTGTAAATGTTATTAAATTATTGGATTGTTCTGTTAAAAAATATCTTCTGTGGAGGAGTGGGATATCAATGGCGGACCACTAGGGTAGTGTAACAGATCTGCTTCTCTTTTGCATTTCCACTTTTTTCAGGGCTTAATTCTACACTGAGGGTCAGAATGATAAATGATTCCAAGAAGCTATAACCTGATGCTGGCTGATAAGCCACCGTTACTGTGTTCAATCTTCTTGGACAGACACAGGTTAACACACACTCGATTCCCCAGTGAAGGGGTAAGGACACTCCTGAGTTTTAAAGCCACAAAATACATTTCTGTACATTTCTTGTTCACTAAGTGAGGAAGGAGTATTCTATTTAGTCGAACATTTTAGTCCATCTGATACGGTAAATACAAAAAAAAAACCCACAACCCAGCTCTCATTTTAATTCAAGTAAGGCACTGGAAACTCTGTTAAATAACCAGCTGGAAAATACTGAATGTTTTTAAATTGTTATAAATAAATGTTACTAAAATTCAAGACCACTGAAAAAAGTCTGTTTCTTTTTCTGATTCATGCCTTGGGTCCTAAGGGCATAGGAGTAAAAAGTTCTTGGTCTGTAAAGGACATACAATTTCATAAAGATGTCTGCAATCTAGTTTTCAGTAAATATTCATCAGAACATTCTTCTTCTGCACTCTTTTGGAAATGTTTATTTGGCAACGTATGATGATGCCTTCTCATGAACATCCAATTTACTATATATTTAGTGTGATGGATTAATGGTGAAATGATTAATTGGTTAATTGGTACAAATTGAATGCTAATTAAGCATAATTTACTTTGCAAGTCTCCGGTTGCCATACTGCAGCACTGGTTTTGAATTTCTGAGGGCCAGAGCGCCACCTATTGTCCCACCAACGCCACTTACTGACTTCACAAAAATGAAAAGAATAAAAAAACAGGGAGATTGAGATTTGTGGCTTGCTTTTGCTTTCAGTTCTTAGCCCATATTTTGATTTCAGCTAGATATAGCTGGCAGCCTCTTGTATGTCAAAACCTTATCATGTTTTCTGAGGCATTAAATTGTTGCATTTTATACATTACGAACGTTAAGATGCACGTTTTCATGCAAGATGTACATTAAATACATTTTCAACTAATCAAGAAACTCATTTGTGATAACATAAAATTTGTGAAACCCAAACTAATTTGTGAGAAAATAAAAAAACACTGACACTCTTTTACCAAAATAACATTTGCAATTCATTTTGACAGAAAAAAAAACAAACAAATCTATATTTAAACTTTGTTATATGTGGATAAAGAGAAAAATTCTCAATGCCCCAAGATTTTGTCATGACTGTTTTGAAGCTAATACAGCTCTGAGACATGTAAAATAAGTATTTACCGCAGTCTCTTTTCAAAATTTTAGCAACCTGTTTTCCCCGCTAGAGAAGAGCCGCCCTGTGGTGCGCGCCCAGCCCCCTCTCTGACCTGCCATCTTGTCCTCCAGCACGATCTTCAGGTGGCGAAGGGCCTCGTCCACGTGCAGGCCGTGGAGATCCAGGACATTCTGAGGCAGCAGGGAGGAGTTGACTCGTTCGAAGATCCTCAAGGCCGCGCGCCGGTGGGCCTCTTTCATCCTCTGGCCGTGGAGATGACCCTGCAGAGAGACAGAGAGGACAGAGACAGGAGCCACATGAGCAGCTGGCGACATACTGGGCTCACAGGTCAGCTCTGAGATGACAAGCCGCCTACGGCGCCATATACAATAAAGTAATAATATTATTTTCACACGAAACCTGAGCAAAGACAGGTTTGGACCCTGTTTTCGGATAGCGTTTGGGGTTGCACCAACGCCTCCAACACTCAAGTGACAGAGACGGGACAAATATAACAAATTAATTTATCTTGATCTGACAAATCATCCAATAGTACAGAGCTGTCCTTTCTTTTGGCTCCACAAACCGCACGGTCAGCCTCAGGGGCTCACATATGGCCACTGCGTCATCCGTTAAACTGCAGCACTCTGGTTTTCCAGAGTAGTCAGGGAACGCATTGAGACTCCAGCTGCGTGTCACTTTCAGCTTCTAGAAGCATTTCAGCGGACACCGACTACTTGATTTATCTGTTGTTGTTTTTTTTACTTTTTTTTAACCCATTTGCATTGCTCAGATCTGAAGTGAATGACTTTGTTTATTGCGTATCTTTGATACACTAATATATTCATTACTTAATAATTCATTAAACTGCTTCACTCAATAGGTCATTCCTTCCTTTAGCAGACCACAACAGCGTGAACGTCTTTCACGGATCCAGCCCTTCGTTAGAGGGATCGCAGCCCAGCCTCTCTCGCGGGCCTACCTGCTGGGCGTAGAAAGTGGCCACGTCCTTCATGCCCTGCCTGTAGGCCTCCGCCGCCTTGCTGAAGCACTCCTGCTGCTTCCGGTGCTGCAGGATGGCCTCCGCTCGGAAGTCGGCGTAGTCCGGGTCTTCCGTGTCCTGGAACAGCCCGGCCGCCTCCGTCTCCCTCGCCGCCTTCTTCTGGGAATCGGAAACGGGCATCGACGGACATGTCTCACACGCGGACATTCACTCTCATCCTCCGCGCCCAGGGAAGGGAGAGCTCCCAGACAAGAAGCGGTTTCCCTTAGAACGCTGGCTCTGAGTAATTTCCACCCACCTGAACCACTGAACACAGATGCCTTT